CGTTTCAGAGTTATATCATTCATGTAGTACACTAGGCATGTATCACGTGATCTGGACTTAAGAAATCCATGTTAGGAGACCGAGATGAGATTATTAGTAATTAGATGTTAGACTAATGCGGCCTTAACTACTTTCTCCATCTCTCTAGACACCACTGAAGTTATGTTTATGGATCGGTAATTTTCAAAATTTGCTTCAGGTCCTGTTTTAATTTTGGGAATGATGTGTGTAGCTTTCCAGGCAGTAGGGTAATGCGCTGTAGAGAGTGATATCGCAAATAGTTTGGGTAATAAAACACACATATCATTGCCTCCACGTTTTAGCATGCTAGCCGGAATACCATCTGGTCAGTCAGTGTAGGAGTGTTTCAGTGTACTAATTGCCTTAGAGATATTCTGTACATTGAAGTCTACGTTAGTAATCTCACAGGCAGATGCTGTGATAAGTTCTGAATCATTAAGTGGTTTTTCATCAGTTAATGAGGAACAAAAGTGTTCATTAAATAGTTCCGTAACAAGTTTAGGATCTTCGTATACTTGTTTGAATTTAATAAATATGTTTTATCTCGACTTACAACGTTTAAGTTTATTTTGAAAGAATGTGGTGAGTGCTACTAAGTTCGACAGCACGTTTTTCCCGTTCGATTGCTTTTTGTGTATTTATTGCGACTGTCTGGACAAGTATTTCTGTCATCGTTACTAAAGAGGAGAAATCATTAGAATTGTAGAAGCGAGTACAATGTCTCTGCAGACGTCTTCGTGTACCGACCGGTATAAACAGATCTTTAGAAAACTTAGGTCTCCAGTACTCTAAAGGTGCGATTTTGTTCATGATACTTTCGATGTTGTGATAAAATGTATTGGTTAATGTGTCGGTATTGTTTGCAGTAAAGAATGTTCCCCAGTCAGTGCTTCTTAGGTAATTGTGAAAATTATTCCAATCTACCTTGCGATAGTTTCTACGAAGGGTTACATTTTTACGTCTACCGTTTGTGTTTTTTATATTAAGGCTACATACGACAGTGTTATGATCACTACCTGGAAACGTTTTTCCAATATACACAGTATTGGGGGTGGGGCCACTGGTAAAGACTAAGTCCAAGATATTTTGATGTCTGGTAGGGCTACTAACATATTGAGTCCACTGTCCTAGTTCTAGACATTCAATAAATGATTCATAACGTTTCGGAGCTTTGACTGGAAACCAAGAAATTTCAGGCATGTTGAAGTCACCACAAATGAGCTTGCCTGTGAATGGAAGGGATGATGCTAGTGTGAATACCTCTGATAATGCTGCTATTTCACCTATTGCCAAGTTAGGTTGCTGGTAGATGCAGCCGAACAGTAAGGTAATGGAATTTGATGACTTTAAAACAATCCACACCGAGTCCTTCAGTTTGTTTAGTTCAGGCATATCGCATAGTAGTGAGTTTAAGCTAGAGTGAGCATAAATAAGGCATCCTCCGCCTCGTCCTTTCAATCTATCGCTTCTATATAGGAGGTAGTTATCAAGAGATATGCTTAGATCGGAAATATTACAGTTAGTCCATGCTTCAGATATCATTATAAGTGATGGTTTATATATGGAATCAAACAGAGCTAAATCAGTCTTTTTATTGCAGATCGACCTAGCGTTGATAAGACACATATTAAACAAGTGGCCTACTAAGTTAAAGTGAGTGAGAGTATCTCGACTAAATATGTCATGAGCCTCGCGTGAGTGATGTATTTTTGAAGTAATGGATTGAGCTTTTTTCAATAGCTCTGTATTTTGATAGCTAAAGTTACTGGGGCATGTATCAAATGAGCTAGTGAAGTTGCTTGGGGAGTTTATCCAGGAGGAAAGGGTGGGAGTACTTTCTGATGCGAACTGTACGGGGGAAGCGAGTTTATGTTCAGCACTTGGTTTGAAATGACTAGAGCTATATGCTTCAACAGGGGTGCAACTAGGGGCCTTATTCCAGAGAAATCTGGTACATGTTGACTGTAAAGTTTACTGTTATTTGCAAGACAGTTTTGATGGTTAAGCTCGTAGCCTCTAATATAACTATTTGCGCCAGTGCGAGCATGAGAGGGGTCTGATGCTCTTAAATGGAAGTGGTTACGACTGTTGTTATATATAGAGGCTGTCTTCATGTAGTGGGTTGATACTGGAAAGTTCTCATTCTGAAAGTAATTACAATTGTGATTCTGGGGAATGTACATAGGGTGTGGGGTGAGGAACCTGTAATTGCCATGCTTATTAACGGTTTTAGGCTTAAGAAGGTGAGTGGAGTGATCAGTTTTTTGATAGTTTTTGTGAGTAAGCGTGTAAAAAAGTTTGTTACGCTCATGCGTACTACCCATTGTGCGAGGTGTTGATGGCAAGTTACATGATATCAGCCGGGTAGAACCTATTCACTGTTGTTGGGATACCCACAGGACAGTTGGCCTCAATCTTACGTGTCCCCTTATTTCGTATTTTGGATTTTATCTCCCCAGTCTTTTTTGTCAGAGATAAAAAATTTATTTGTCTCTGTGAAATGAACTTAGGTTCATTCGAATCCTCTTGTGGAGTATCTCTTGGGGAATCAATTTTTACATGAATACATTTAGGTGGGTGTGTTTTGTTACACAGCTCACATTTTGGTATTATACTGAGCGAACACCCGGGATCAGAGATGCCGTCACGCCTTTTAGTGACAGATGGGGACCGTATTTTATTTAAAGATTTCTGATCAGCAGACTCATCTAGATCTACGGATGGACCAGTAGTTCGTGTAAACAAACCTCAACCTTTTTACCTGTAATTACCGTGTTGAGGAAAATGGGATGAAAGCGTCAAAAATCTAAACAAGTTACTTTTTCTGTTAAATGGAAGACATTGTTAGCGTATGTTACTAAAAAACTTCATGAAATCGTAAGTCCTATCTCTTTAAGATTCAATCGATGTTACTCATAGTTGTTACTTACAACGAAGACGTGTAACCAGCGACTATGTTATTGATATTTTTGCTAATTAGCAATTTGATCGCGGTTAACCGCGATCAAAATTCCTACGGACAGATTCCCTATTACTTGTGAACTGTCTTTTTTACTGAGGCCAAATGCGTAGAAAAGTAAATTTCCCTGTGCAATTAAAGGCAAACGTCAACATTTAGAAGTTAAGTAGAATATATATCCAACATTAAAAGAAAATCTTGGAAAGGAGTTGTAACTCATAGGAACTCCAACAGCAAAAATTCTGGGTTTGGTATCATATGAAGCTTAAAACAGAAAGAAAATCCAAGGAAAGTGTTGAAGAGTGTGAAACAATTTAACCTAAACTTAGGGAAAGCACACGTTACCTCGACGTTCCGCACACACTTGAATTTTCCTCATTTCGGAAATCAAGGTACACTACTAATTCTCGTTCCGATATTAGGCAACAGTTTCAGATCTTTATTAGTGCTCAATAGAGTAGATTTAGATAAATAATCTTATTATTGCAAGTTACCTCGGTTGACACCCAAAGGTTGGGGGTAGGTGTTGTGGCGGTAAATAAATCCATGAAATAATTAGTTCCATAAGTCTTCAAAATTGATGCTGACCTCGTTGTTTTTACAGGACAAGTTCCAATGACGTGTGCGCCCCAGATAATCATTAGGAATGCCGGGCCACTCAACCCTCGTAGCTACTAGCCAGATTAGTCAGGCGATTCTCAACATAAAGACAACATCTAACCCCTTCATTTTTTACTTCTAGTTTGAATGGATTGGTATCTTTCGATTATTGAAGTTTTACAGACAAAGGCGTAGTGAAACTCTGAATGTGCGTGGCATCTTTAGTGTCAGTGATTTGTGATGATCGGGTGTCATCAAGCAATAGTTTTGTTATTCATATGACGAGAGTAAAGAAGTTGTAGCTGTAACTAAATCCCCAAAATCAATAGCTCAGTAAGTGTTCGACATTGGATGCTGACCACATTGTTTAAGTAGACTTGTTTAACTGAAGGCGTTCGGTCATGCATCTGCACCAGATCACGTTTCGAACCAGCGTGAGAAACAGCTCCTACGTTCAGTATTTAGGTTATAGTAAACGCTTCTCAATATATTGATATATATATATATCTTCCCAATCTCTTCGCATCTGACTTCTGGCTTCAACTAATTGGGAGACGATTCGAATATAGAAAGTGTAACTGGTTTATAGTTGTAAAACTACAATACCGGTCGTATCTTCATAGTCATGAGGGAAAATGAAAGAAAACGCAAGTAGTAAAAAATAAATGCATGAACTGAAAAGCAATGGTGAAAAAAGATCAGGAAGTAAGCAGCAACGGTACTGTGAAGTTAAAGAACTCCTTAAGAAATTGATTTGTAGAGGTCTGATACTAGTGCTGAACTCACCAGCTGTAACCGGCATTCAAATACACGTTGTAGTCGTGTCTAGGCACAGTTCATACGAGACCTCAAGCTTATTCTAGGTAGTTAACCTATTGGTCCTACATCCAAATACAAAATTTGAGACAACATATTTGTCTCGTATGAATTTATTTACATTTATTTATTTACAGCTACAACTTCTTTACTCTCGTCATATGAATAACAAAACTATTGCTTGATGACACCCGATCATCACAAATCACTGACACTAAAGATGCCACGCACATTCAGAGTTTCACTACGCCTTTGTCTGTAAAACTTCAATAATCGAAAGATACCAATCCATTCAAACTAGAAGTAAAAAATGAAGGGGTTAGATGTTGTCTTTATGTTGAGAATCGCCTGACTAATCTGGCTAGTAGCTACGAGGGTTGAGTGGCCCGGCATTCCTAATGATTATCTGGGGCGCACACGTCATTGGAACTTGTCCTGTAAAAACAACGAGGTCAGCATCAATTTTGAAGACTTATGGAACTAATTATTTCATGGATTTATTTACCGCCACAACACCTACCCCCAACCTTTGGGTGTCAACCGAGGTAACTTGCAATAATAAGATTATTTATCTAAATCTACTCTATTGAGCACTAATAAAGATCTGAAACTGTTGCCTAATATCGGAACGAGAATTAGTAGTGTACCTTGATTTCCGAAATGAGGAAAATTCAAGTGTGTGCGGAACGTCGAGGTAACGTGTGCTTTCCCTAAGTTTAGGTTAAATTGTTTCACACTCTTCAACACTTTCCTTGGATTTTCTTTCTGTTTTAAGCTTCATATGATACCAAACCCAGAATTTTTGCTGTTGGAGTTCCTATGAGTTACAACTCCTTTCCAAGATTTTCTTTTAATGTTGGATATATATTCTACTTAACTTCTAAATGTTGACGTTTGCCTTTAATTGCACAGGGAAATTTACTTTTCTACGCATTTGGCCTCAGTAAAAAAGACAGTTCACAAGTAATAGGGAATCTGTCCGTAGGAATTTTGATCGCGGTTAACCGCGATCAAATTGCTAATTAGCAAAAATATCAATAACATAGTCGCTGGTTACACGTCTTCGTTGTAAGTAACAACTATGAGTAACATCGATTGAATCTTAAAGAGATAGGACTTACGATTTCATGAAGTTTTTTAGTAACATACGCTAACAATGTCTTCCATTTAACAGAAAAAGTAACTTGTTTAGATTTTTGACGCTTTCATCCCATTTTCCTCAACACGGTAATTACAGGTAAAAAGGTTGATGTATGTTTACTGTAATCAATAATTCAAGCACATTTTGGATGCGGTTCTCTCCTTCCAGATGTAAATTGGTACTTCAGGATTAACTTGCGTTATCGCCAGGATTATTGTTAGGGAGTGAAATAGTTGAATCCATCTGCCTCTTCACTTATCTTGGGGGTCTCATCAGTACTGGTGTCAAGGGAAATCTTAGTGCGGATTGATATGGCTCGATTGACTCTTGGCAACTTACATCGCCTATGGCGTAATCGAGATATCCATCTTCCAATCAAAAGGCGAGTTTACTGCGTAGCAGTTCGCTCCGCTCTACTTTGTCCGTGTGTTTCGAGACTACTGATCTGGTTATGCATGGGTTAGAAACAGAAAATAGGTAAGAATGGCAAGCCAACCTATTCGATCAGCTACAATGTAGCACCAGGCACATACATGCATCGGTCCAAGTTGTCATAACCTCATCAGCACAACAAGATGAACAAGAAATTCACAGAAGTAGTTAATTTAATGGTGGTAATATATAAAAAGGAAGATTGTATATAAGGATATAGTACAGAAAGAAAGGAAGATATGAAGCAATTTTAATCTCATAGTTTAAGAGAAGACAGAAAGCGTATACACCTACGCCATTGTGATCGACCCTGAGCCGTCACACAGATTCTCCAACCATTGGTTACGATAGTCGCACGGACCTCAACCGAGTAGTCTGCATCTACCAACATAACTCAGACCAGGAGTTAGTGACTCCAAGAACTGATGCCACGTATTTGTTTAACCGTCCCCAACTTTCTTCCAACCATCCCCAATACTAGTGAGCATTGCGCGTTATGGTAATCGATGATTGGGCATACGTAACACGTGACCCAACCATTTCAGTTGATGTAGATTTACAACCTCATCAACTGATTTACCATCATTCCCTAATACTCTGTGTCCAATCTCTCTATTACTTACCGGGTGATCCGAGCAGATGCGAGCAATATTTCTAAAACATCTGTGATCAAATCTTAGTAACCTACGAGTATCTTCTACTCTTAATGGCCATGTTTCGCAGCCGTAAAGTAGAACAGAGCGAACTGCTGCGTACTATACTCGTCCCTTAATTGATAGACGGATGTCTCGTCTTCGCCATAGGTGACGTAAGTTGGCAAAAGCCAAACGAGCTTTTTGAATCCGTGCTGAGATTTCGTCAGACATCAACCCATTAGGGCTGATCAGACTTCCAAGATAAGTGAAGTTGTCGACGCGTTGAACTACATCACTCCCTATCCTTAGTTCAGGTGTTGACGCAGGCCAGTCCTGGAGTAACAATTTACATTTGAATGGGGGGAAACGCATCCCAAACATCCTGGCATTATTACTCAGTTCTAACAAGACTCTGCATTTTGTCAGCGTCTTCACCAAACAGGACTATGTCATCTGCGTATTCTTATTCGATAAGTGGACCTTCTGGTAGGAGACCAATTCCTGAAAATCCAGTCGTTGAGAAAGTTATTTCCAGCAGTAGGTCTATGATGAAGTTGAACAAAGATGGGGATAGTGGACAGCCTTGTTTGACACCACTTGAGGTTGTAAAATCAGATGACAGTTCGCCATAAGCTCTCACTCGACTGGTAGTGTTCGAGTAAAGAGCCTTCACAAGGTTTATATACTTCTGAGGTACACCTTTCAATGACAGACACTGCCACAAAACCTCTCAGTCTAAGGAGTCAAATGCTGCTTTTAAGTCAAGAAAAACGATCATTGTCGGACGCCAATAAGCATGCCTGTGTTCTAAAACCTGATGAATGGTTAATATGTGGTTAACAATACAGCCACGACCAGGTCTGAAGCCAGCCTGATTTCCTCATGTTTGCAGTTCGCGAGTCCTTGTTAGGCGCCCTATAATTATTGAGGCTAGTTTTTTGGATGCTACATTAATCAAACTAATTCCTCTATGGTTATCACAGGATGATTTTGATCCTTTCTTATATATTGGGACGTTCAGTGATTGTGACCAGCCAGATGGGATTACGTCCAACTTTCATATTTCAGCTAAAATATTAGTCAACCCAATCGCTAAAATTGGACCACCTTATTTAAAGATCTCTAAAGTCAATCCATCTGAACCAGCTGCTCTTGTACGTTTCAGATTAGCTATAGCCTTTCGAACTTCTAGAGTCGGGGGACCTACTTAAATGTTTCATTCAGACTGGCAAGTCAACTTATGAGGTAATAAATCTTCATCAGCTGAGGTGGTTGTGAGATGTGTAACGTATGTCTAACCTTAACTTACCTTGATGGACTATGTAGTCTGGTGGAATAAAGCTAGGACTGGCCAGTTCAAAACATGCGATCAGTCCGTGAAGTCATTGACAATTGGACTTAGCCATATCTACAGGAGTAGATTACTTTGTTGAGGTTCGTATGATTATCGTAACCAATGGTTAGACTCGGTGCGACAAGACTCAAAATCGCTTGCAGTGGGGAATGTGCATCTATTCTTTATCTCCTTTCAAATTCTAAGTTTCTCAGTCCCTAATAACATTTTTCATGTTTTATCTCACTAATTTATACCTACCTATCAGATCATATCTTCTGTGCATAATCTTCTCTATTACCACTTATACTGTTACTGCCTCTACCATTGTGTGATTAGGCCGGGAGAGAGAGAGTATGATTATAACTGTTATCCCATACTATGAAATAATACAATCTATTACTCATAAGTCTTAGTTCGGAGAGGATTTTAAGATACTACACTCGATATTCCAATACCTAAATAAACTGCCGTAAAAATATTCCTGTAACTTTTCTCACAGTAAAAATTTTGTAAAAAATAAAAGTTACTAAGTAATAATAACCCTTGCATGTTAATATCTTTCAAATGATACTGGGTGTTTACTCCCGTATCATTTTGGGTCTAGTACGTTGTATTTTAGGTATTTAAATCTTTTCTGATACACTACAGACTGTTATGTATCACCCGCAATTCCTTTTTTTCAGGATTGTGATAAATGCAGACAGGAACAAAATCTTCATTCACTATCTCAATCATCAGTATTATAAATAACACAACATACGAAATCTTCAGTTTGTTATCTATACTATATGAGGTCTAAAAGTTGATTTTTGGTTAACAACTCAGAGCGTTGTACATTCAAAGTGGATACATACTGGAGTACTACAATAACTTTATACATCAACATTCTTCTGTAGGTTTTTTTTAGTTCAAGATGCCAGCAAAATTACTTCGTTCTGTAAATAAATATTTATATCCTCAAGATGAGATATTCATAAGGCCTATTATTACACTAATTAATAATACTGTGGGAGTAGCTGCTCTAGCTATGCCATTTTGTTTTCATCAGGTATTTATTTTGTTATTCACTTATATAATAAAATTCAGTGTGGTATTTTATTATCTTTTTTATTTCTTGGAATTACTGCTGCATTTTCAATAATGTCATGCGATGCTTTAATTGATATCTGTTCTACTCACCGAGTTCTTCCATTTGAGCATGCTTGTAATTTTAAATATTCCATATAAACTTGAACTCTATAGGCTTTAAAGCATTAGGACATATGGGAAAAAGTTTAGCTGAATTAAGGTAAGCGTTGTATTATATGGTTGACCTTTTAGTGTTATTTGTCTATTGTTCGGTTACGTTGTAGGATATTATGTTACTATTGCAGATCTGAGCACTGGCGTTGTTTCACGAATCGCTGTAACTATTGTAAGTTTTACATTATAAATTAACTTGATGTAATTTATTTACCATACTCATATACACAACTCCGAGCAGTATGGATTAAGGGATAATGACATTGCCTTGGTGTTTTTTTCTATGCCCTGTTAATTATGTCACGTGATTAACTCTATCAATTAGAAAACCGAATTATATGACCAGACAAATGACGCGTTAACCAGTACGAGCAGCCTAGTGTCAACTTTGAGTCGTGATTAGTCCTGCCTGTTCGAGTCCAGAACACAGCTTCTACTGTATGAATCATGTATTTCAGACATACTTGATTTACATATAAGCAAATCGGACCGCATCATACCATAAAAATGAAAATATTAATCATACAAGATCAGTCCAAAAGTGGCTGTGAGTATGAGAGACTGTGACTAATAGATTGGAAATAAGTTAATAGTAAATAGTATGATAGTATTCAGTAGGTCAAACAGAAGCTTATGATAAAAGGGATATAAATATATATAATTTAGTTACTTAGCAGTTATACAATAAGAATATATATATAAGAACAGTTCATAAATAGTTCCCATAAGTTACCCACAGTTTAATCTCCTCCTGATACAACACTTGGTTATTTATTTAGACATAAACAAACGAGTATCAAAAGGTATATATGCCCCACACAAATCATTCAATTTGTGTGTGGGGTAGGATATTGGTCGGATGTACAAACCTAGTTAGGTGGTTTTCTTAGAGAGGGCTACTCAGCCAACACTTCACATAGAGGTCTAATCCACAAGGCAGTGGAGCGACGTTAAGAGATACGGTCCCATGGCAGCCGGTCACCAGAAATAGGTTTACATGCCATTTGTTTTTTCAGGATCCTGGGGTTCCTGTGCACCATTGATGTGGAATCAGAATTTTCCAACTCCCTTACGTGGGTTTTCCGTATCCACCAACCCAGTTTGAACGTTGGACATTCGATTTTCATTCTCGCAGTTTTGTAAACAACACCCTCACCCCTAGAAGGCAATGAGTAGGACTTCCCTGGTAGGAGGTATATATGTATGGCCATACGAGAGCATTTTCGAGAGGGAGAGCGAACTTTTCTCACCCTACGTCGCACTAGGGCATTGGGGTGGGGTATTTCACGTTGAAGAACTGTGAGATATAAAGTAGCCATTTGCGTTGTATAAATTCTGAGCAACGCATTGACAATGGTTTGTGACTATATTTTTCCTATTTGTAAATTGTTCTCGGGAAAAACACTTCATTAGTATTACTGACCCGGCCAGTCAGTCAGTTATTCAGTCATACATAGCATAGAACATGTCACATGTGTATATCGGCCTAAGTTGTCATACGCCATCAGGGCGAATCCCTCATTAGTATTATGCGTAGTAACAATATCACTGGTAAGAGAAAAGAGTAGGAGTCAAATATATGATTCGCGAAAACAATATGGATTATTTACTTGCCTACATGGCTCTCAGTCCAACAGCATTGTATATCTGACTGGTGTCAGTTAAAACTTTTTTTACTTTTATTCGACCTACTTTGATGTATATGTAACTAAGACAATGTAGAACATTGTTACGATTGGACTCTAGTTTGACTATGGAGAACATTTTTATTGTTATTGTTTAAGTAGCCTGAAACCATCAATTTATGTGAGTATATAACTTGAATTTCTTCCTGAATGTTGCAGTAGGTAGCATTCATGTGTGTAGGGTTGACAGTTGTAGAAGAAGAAGCAAGAAAATAGGTTATTAATTACGTTTAAACAAACAGTATTCTGGATTCAGTTCACTTATTAGTCACTATGTTTTATCTTATGGGAACCAAACATCAACTCACAAACGGTTATTCATTTTGTCAAATATTTTCTGTAAAAAATTGTCTATAGTTTAAAGACAGTTTTCATTAAAAACTGTCAATTGTGGAACCATTGAAAAATTGCTTTTACCCCACTTAGGTCTTCTCTACAAGATACACCAATGAAATCCAACTGAGGACTTTCAAATTTTTATAACAAACAAGCTACCCTTGAGACACTGAACTGAAACTCAGTAGTTTACTTTTTTTTACTTTCAGTTAGTTAATACTGAAATGTCAGTGAGGGAGTAGTCAAATTTACTAAATTTTATTGAGATCAAGAACCTGTCTAAACAATCTCCAGAAACCCTATACTGATAATTATCATGTACTCAGTAGTGGCTAGCTTAGAGAGGAAATTTCCGGAGTTCTATGGAGAAGCCATTATCAGTGGAGTTTAACCACGTCAAATGTGAGGAAGGTATCCACCGGTGACAATGAAAGATGGTTGCACAATATCGTTGGTTCATTGGAAATAGGCCTGGATACCATTGGATCCTGGTCCAGTGGTCAAGACTCTAGTGAAGTACTACAAATTCGCTCTACATCTGTAGCTTCGAAAAGCTTGTTTTACGTGCGCTTATCCGGGGACTCTGTGACATCTTCGTCTGGTCTTTCTGGCGTTGGTGTCGCACTAAGCGCTAGAGGTGAGGCAGCACTAATCGGTTATGTGCTGTTAGATTAGGAAGTTCCATCAAAGTGAGAAGAAATCGGCGTGAGAAACGGTGTTTTTTCGTCATCCCCGTCTATGTTCGGACAGATTGCAGCCCGGGTGCGATCAAAGATGGGTTTTATCATTGGTTAACTGTTCCTCTACAGAAAGTGCGTTCGGTAGATATTGTAGTACTAGCCAGAGACTTGAATACTCAGATCAGGCGTCTAAGCATAGAAGAGAGTCGTTTAGGTGGCCGATGGGGACTTGATGGTTGCAGGACAGATAATGTGGGTTGTCTACTGCAACTATGCGCAGACCACAGCCTGTTCCTAGCTAGCATTAACCTCCGGCACAGTCATCGCCGATGTGCCACCTGGCGTCCTCATTCTGCATCTCAAGCCTGGGATCGGATTAATCACATCGCGATCAGCTACCGCTGGCGTGGTTGTGTACAAGACTGCCGCTCCTTTTGGAGTACCTATCTGGAGTCTGATCATGCCCTGGTATGCGCTAATCTTACCTTACGTTTCAGTGGCCAACAAATTCATCATCCTAAACGGATAAATGTTAGCAAATCGGTTGCAGCTTCTGTTATTATTATTTAAACACATATATATTGGTACAAAAGGGCACCAGGTACATATGCGCCACACAAAATAATGAAAGTAGGAAGAGAAGAGATGAAAAGATAAGGCGGACCGAAATGTACAACCAGAAGACTCTTTCAGTTAGGAAAGTTAGAACCATTCTTTATGTAGAAAGTAAAAGAAGGTTGCAGCAGGACCGCCACTGGCTTCTATTCTGAGCCATATCTGATAACGTCTCTAGCCACTGTGTTGCACCATCTCTCGGACTCCAGCCAGGGAGTCGTGAAGGACCAACAGAAGCTAGCCCTTCGCAGCTTTCTTTCATGCCACGACACCATGTCATACACTGACCTCCTCTCCGCTTTTTCCAACCAGTCCCAGGGTCGGCAAATAATGCACGACGTCGAAGTCTCTGGGACGACATTCGTAAAACATGTCCAAGCCACCGAAGTCGGTATTTCAAGATGGTGACACCAATTGAATTATCGTCTCTGCGCCCGAACACACGATGCCGAACCTCTGCATTACTAACATGGTGTTGCCACTGAATGTCAGCAATCCTTCGGAGACAACGATGATCAAACACAGAGAGTCGTCTAACATCCTCAACTCGGAGAGGTCAGGTTTCACAAGCATAGAGCAAAACTGCTCTCACCGACGCGTTGTAGATCCGACCTTTTACAGCCAGACTAACATCACGAAGGCGCCAAAGATGGCCCAGATTGGCATAAGCCGCTCTGGCTTTCATTATACGTGCATCAATTTCATCACTCACGCCACCACCAGCACTTATATAGCTACCTAGATACACGAACTTCTCAACTACCTCAATCTGCTCACCATCCAGGGTGAGTACAGGATGAGAATCCTGCCAGTCTTGTAGGAGTACTTTGCACTTGGAGGGTGCAAAGCACATGCCGTACCTGCGGACACTGATTGCCAACTGATTAAGTGCGGATTGCATGCCTTGGGCATTATCGCACAGTAAGACAATATCATCCTCATACTCGAGGTCGAGAAGTCGTTCTCCAGGCAACATATCCACACCGCCATTACTTACATCCATCAGAGCTGTTTCCAGGATGTCGTCGATGGCAAAGTTGAAGAGGAATGGTGAGATTGGGCAACCCTGCCTAACCCCACTGCTCGAATGAAACAAGGGAGAAAGGTGGTTGTATGCCCTCACTCTGCCTGAGGTGTTCGTATACAGAGCCTTTAGGATGTTAATGAACTTCTCAGGCACACCCTTCTTCAATAGACAATCGCAGAGAACAGTCCTGTCCAACGAATCGCAGGCCGCCTTGATATCAAGAAACACTACGATTGTTGGCCTGCGATAAGTATGACGGTGTTCTAACATTTCGCGGAGGGTGAAGATGTGATCAATGCATCCTCGACCAGAACAAAAACCAGCCTGCTCCTTGATTGCATCCGGGCTGCAATCTGTCGGGGCATAGGCGGAGATGACGAAAAGACACCGTTTCTCACGCCGATTTCTTCTCACTTTGATGGAACTTCCTAATCTAACAGCACATAACCGACTGTTAATGGGGATCCAATCGATTAGTGCTGCCTCAGTTCTAGCGCTTAGTGCAACACCAACGCCAGAAAGACTAGACGAAGATGCCACAGAGTCCCCGGATAAGCGCACGTGAAACAAGCTTTTCGAAGCTACAGATGTAGAGCGAATTTGTAGTACTTCACTAGAGTCTTGAATACGGGTCTCGGATAGACAGCAAACATCAACATTAAGACTTTCTAAAGACATAGCCAGCCCCATCTGTTGTCCGATCTGCATTAGTGTGCGAACGTTGAAGGAAGCCAGCTTGAACGGCGTACGTGGTTTCAGAAAGACTGCTTCAGTATTCGTAATCGGTGGAAGCATTCACTTTCAACCAGAGAGTGACTGGAGATCGTTTAGATAGGACAGAGTTTCCACCATGGGCGAGCTACTGCATAAGTTGAAAAGTAAGGCTACACAAATTGGGGATAAAAGGGGATGAGTTAGCGATATGGTAAATAATAATAATAATAATAATAATAATAATAATAATAATAATAATAATAATAATAATAATGGTAATAATAATTTGTAATAGTGTAAATTGTCTTACTTCTAATATAAGCGAGAATAGTATCGTCAATAGAATTCATCATTTCATTTATTTGTTTGTGGGCTGTGATACTGCCCGGGTGCCCAAACCGAAGCAGCTGGTTTTCTTAGGGGGCCACACCCCGAGCCTTTGACCTAAAGGTCTGATCCACAAGGCAGTAGAGCATCATGAGGAGATGCAGTCCCATGGTAGCCGGTGACCAACAGCAGGTTCGTTCGCCATTCGTTCCATCAGGATACTGGAGCCCATGTGCACCATTGGTTTGGAATCAGGGTTTTCCAACTCCCCTAGGTGGACCCTCCGTGTCCACCAACCCGGTTAAAGCGCCGGACATTCGCTTTTCGTTTTCTCCCTTTCGTAAACAACATCCCCGCCACGAGAAGGCAGTGAGTAGGACTTGTGTGGCAGAGGCTATATATTCGCTGGCCATGTGAGAGCATTTGGAGAGGGAGAGTGGACCCTCCCCACTCTCGGTCGTACCAGGGCATTTGGGGGCTAAGAATCGGCTTCTGTTACTACTAAATATCAAACTAAGCTATGTTCAAGGTTAACACTTAACCCACCGAAAAGTATGGATGGTCATTGGATGCATTTCCATGACCAAAGGCAAACGGCGAGTAAAGTTTCTTGTGACTTCGCAAAACGTCCTGCTCATATGCAGTGGGTTTCTTCTGACTCCTTACAACCTATTGAAGCTCGTCTGTTTACTCCGGTGACCGTGAGTTTGACCACAAACGTAGTCTATTACTCAGCGAAATTGGGCAAAGCTTGGGTTAAGGACCGAGAAACCTTATGGTCGGAGCGTGCCAATGAGTTGTAAGCAGCAGCTATATCTGGTAACTGCCGGAAGCTCTTTCATTTCATCCGAATCACTGTCAGTAAGAATTCTGGTGTGAGCGAAACAATCTGTACAGATGACGAGATGCCAATCACTAACATCTATCGACGTCTTGGATGGTGGGCAGAGCCTTTTTTGGAGCAATTCAACTGATCTGGTACCCCGGTAACGTCGGTCAGACTGTTCTGCCCTCCACGGTCTGTGACGACTGATCCACCAAACGAGTCGGAAGTCCTCAAGAAACTCCAACTCCTGAAGGGTTAAAAATCAACGGGCCCAGATGACTTACCTCTGGCCCTTTTTAAAAATGGTGATGACTTTCTGGTTAAAGAACTGAGTTGTTTACAAAGGTCTGGCAATTAGAGAGTGTTCCAACATCATGAAATGAGTTTATAGCTGTCCCTATCTTTAAAAAGGGTTCACGTCATTCCTGTTACAACTATCAGGGGATAAGTCTACTTCCGAATGCGTCCAAACTATTGGCTTCTGTCATATTTTGTAGGTTGTTCAAAACCCGAGAACGATTGACTTGCTAAAAGCAAGCTGGTTTTCGTTCTGGTCGAGGATGTATTGATCGAATTTTCACCCTCCGCCAAATGTTGAAACACCTCCATACTTATCACAAGCCAACAATCGTAATGTTTCTTGACATCTGGGCTGTTTTTGATTTGTTGGACAGGACTGTTCTCTGGGATTGTCTGTTGAAGAAAAGTATGTCTGAGAAGCTCTATATACTAACACCCCAGACAGAATTAGGGCATACAAGCACCTCTCTCTACTATTTCATTCAAGCAGTGTGGTTAGGCTGGGTTGCTCAGTTCCACTATTCCCCTTCAACTTTGCCATCGATGACTTTCTGGAAACGGTTCTGATGGATGTAGATAGTGGTGATGTGGATCTCTTGCCTGGAGAAAGATTCTTCGACTTTGAGTATGCAGATGATATTGTCTTACTGTGCGATAATACCCAAGACATGCAATCTGCACTTAATCAGTTGGCAATCAGTGTCCGTAGGTATGGTATGTGCTTTGCATCTTCGAAGTGCAAAGCACTTTTACAAGACTGGTAGGACCCTGATCCTGCACCCACCCTGAGTAGTTTGCAGACATAAGTAGTCGAGAAGTTCATGTATCTGGGTAACTGCGTAAGTGCTGGTGGTGGCGTGAGTGTTGAGATCAATTCACGTATAATAAAAGCTAGAGCGGCTTATGCCAACCTGGACCATCTTTGGTGCCCTCGCGAAGTTTGTCTGTAAAAGGTCGGATCTACAACATGTCAATAAGAGAGATCTGTTCTATGCTTGTGCAACCTGACCTCTCCGAGTTGAGGATATTACACGACTGTGTTTGATCATCGTTGTCTCCGAAGGATTGCTGACATCCAGTGACAACACCATCTTCAATTGTCTTTAGTGGATAACTACCTCGCACCCGACACGGATTAGTTCCACTGGCTACGGCTTCTCACTAGAACTTCGAGAACTACCTCTTGAAACTAGTCTCTAGTGAGCACATGGTAATTATCAGTGTGGAATTGTGGAGATTGATTAAAGAGTCCCGTACTAAGACGAAACGGCCGTCCAGTGCTTCCAGGTTTTTAATAGTTGTCTAACATTGGTCAATTCATGACCTTAATCAAAATTATATTAATATTCGTTAACCTTTTAAAACATTTTTTACATTTGCATAATTTTTTCTTTCATTCATTCTTCCTCTTCTGTATTATTTAGCCAACTCATCAACTTCGATTTATTCTACTAGTGATGTTTACAATTACTTTAATACCGCTATGTTTAATTCCAAGAGTTCAAAGTTTACTTCGATTGAATGTTTTTACAAGTCTATTTTATGGTGTAGTTACTTTTCATGTAAGTTCTATACAAAAAATAATTGAACAAATTCTATATAATGTACAAATTTTGGATACCGGCTCAGTGGTCTATCGGTTAAGGGCTCTGGCTCGAGACCGGTAGGTCCTGGGTTGGAATCTCGCGAGTGCGGGATCGTGGATGCCCACTGCTGAGGAGTCCCATAATAGGACGAAACGGCCGTCTAGTGCTTCCAGGTTTTCCATGGTGGTCTAGCTTCAATGGACTCATGATTTCAAGTTTGTAAAAATTAGTTATTTTATTCGTTTTTTTATTTTTCTTCTATTGAATCATCTATGTGTTTAGATGATTCTTGTCTTAGTTAATAAAACTATTCACCTAATTTTTTTTCCATATATGCCAAGATTAACTTAAAGGAATTGGGTTGATAAATTAGTGCTTACAATCAGTCACTCAGTTATCTACAACATAGGACCAGGTACATATATGTGTGGATCGGTCCATGTCGCCATACCTCATTAGTACAAAAAGATGAACATCAAATTCATAGAAGCAATTATTTCAATTGTAGTAATACGTGGAAACAAAAAAATTGCATATAAGAATATAATACGAGGAGGAAGAGTTAGTTCATAGAAAGAAAGGTACAAAGTAATTTCAATCTCACAGTTTGATGGAAGATATAGAGTGTATATACCTACCTACACCACTATATCCGATTTTGAGCCATGTCATACACAGTCTCCAACCACTAGTTACGATAGTCACGAGGACCCTAACTAAGTAGTGTACATCCACCAACATGTCTCGGACTAGAAGTTAGTGATTTCAAGGACTGATGTCACGTTTTGTTTTGGCCACCCCTAACTTTCTTCTATCGGTCTTCAATACTAGTGAGCATTGCGCGTCATGGTAATCGATGATTGGGCATACGCCACACGTGGTCCAACCATTTCAGTTAATGTACATTCAGAACCTCACCAACTGATTTACCATCATTCCCTAATACCCTTCATCTAATCTCTCCGTTACTTACTTGATGATCCGATTAGATGCTGGCAATATTTCTTAAACTGTATTGGTGCTAACAGCTTTTGTGATATATAAATGTGTAATATATTTTGCCTAATTTGTACAATGAAAGTATTATTAAAACTAGTCTTGTATCAGCCTTTTAATATAATATTATTTTCAATGAATGCAATGAGACATGATTGAGATTGTTATATCTTATGGCCGAGTGGATACCTAGCTAACCGGTTTTGCTTCTGCCTAGCCCAGCCAGTTAAGTCCAAAACACCAATAACAATCTCTGTTGTATCCAATCATTATTCACAAACATACTGGGTTTATATACCAGAGATTGTGTTATGTTTTACTGTCGTCGAAGATAATTACTGATGTACAAGCTTCCTTTAGGCTAACCAAATCAGACGCTTGAGTAAGCAAACCAATATTAAACAAGAAACTTTTTTTTGTCTCAACCCAATTTAATAAATATCTGTTATATCTGAAGCGTTTCGAATTCACTAGTTAGCGAACGGAACAAAGACTTGTGACCAGAGACCGATAAGCTAGCTATTCTGACGAGTCCCAGACCCAGTTAGCTAGAGTAAGATGTCCAAGTTGGAAGCGGGAAAATATATTCCGTAGCAGCCAGAAGCACAGCCATCAAAAGGGAAAAAATCAAACGTATATATATACAGCAATAAATTGTCCTTGGGCAGCATTACAAAATAACACACTCAAAGATACAATGGGCCAATAGCGTTTAAGATATTTTACAAGTGGGAAATACGACTTGAAAGTGAAAAGAGCGCTTTTGGCGCGAAAACAAAGAAATTCAAATTTTCAAAATAAAATTACAAAATTAAGCCATTCACCAAGTAAGTTCTGGCGATTTGACATCCCCAACAATATCCATAACTCATTCATAAATATATATATATATTCCACAGAAAATTAAGTTACACTTGTAGCATGTGTCTCCTTCCTCAGAAACTGAACCTAAATTATTTCTCATTAATCATTTGTCTTATATCTGACTGACCCAGTATATCAGATTGATTAAAATTTTCCACAATAATTATGGCTGTTTACAGTTCACTTATCAAATACAACTTTATATACTCAATTCTAAACGTTATTTTTAGTGAAAGCTCTTCATACTGTTCATTTGGCTAAACCAAGGTAAATGAAGTAGTGGTGAGACTAGAGAGCATGGACGACCTTGAACGAATCTTAAATGACCTTGAGAAATATTAGCCAATCAGAAGACAGTTAGTGTACAGTAAAAATTTATTATACAAAACCAAAGAATTAAAGTGGATACACTTCTTTCACATGAGTTAAAAACTTATCAAGGTTGGATATAGGTTCGGAAGTTTTAAAATCGTATTGCATGCGGTACATAAATTCATCCATATGGCTCCATAGTAGTCTGCCTCTGGAGCCATGATAAGGTCTCAAAAACTCCTTTAGTCTCGACCACATAGCTTCTATGTTGTTAGTATGCACCCCAGTAGTAGGGTCAACGAAATGTCGCTTATGTATAACGACTTCATGCACATATCCCAGCCTACCTAGACATCTGTAAGCTCTCCAATCATCTGTATAAACAGTAGTGCCCGGCAGCACATATTACTGTATAATCGGTATGATTGTTGGTGCCTGCCGGTTCCTGACTCTTTAAAAATGTCCTTTCCGTAATGATATATCATATATTCCAGAGACCTGTTAGGTATATTTATGGAAGAGGTACTTACCCAATCTTCTTTAATACAACGGCCACGGTTGTATTTGCGTTTCCTTACCACCGTCTCGTCTATTTCAACAATCTTTCCCACTCCTCCATACAATTGGTGTATGCTTGTCAGTTTTGTTGCGCAAATATCTCTGCAAAACTCGTACCATTGGACTGCCGAAACCTCGCTTACATCGGCAAAGGCGGCAGCTAGTGTTACGGGTTCTTTTATTACCCAATTCGCAACAAGGAGCATAATTTGTCTCAACCTTAGTTTTGAGCGAGCGAAAAAAGTCCCTGTTCTAGCTGATTTCTTCTTCCAACATGAAGGACATCGAAAGATAATATCATCACGATAGTCTGCACATCGTGCAATGTTCATTTGACTACCGCAGTCACAAGTATAGGAGCTTCTCAATAATCCCTTTTCTTGTAGTCGCTCAATTATCACGTCCTCTCGAAAATCCGCTGTAAAGCGATCGTACGTAAGCATCATGTTGCGAAATTACCGCCGTGACCTTGAAAACCCGCGAAAGCTTCTGATTGGCTCGTCCATGTTCTTTAGTCTCGCCGAAGAAGTATATGAGATTTAGAACCTTCAACAACTTATTCAAAGCATAACACATTGAACTTATAACTCTTAACTCATTTAAACTAAACTATAATCTTTCATTTCAAATTATAACTTCAACAAGACTTTGTGTATACGATTTTTTTTATTTTGAAAGCGTTTTCAGTCACTTATAATATACAAATTCTTATATGTCATTCATTATTAATTTCCAGATATTAAACCATTTTATAATCTGTGAAACACTGTCACTAATTAACACTATCGTTTTGCAAAAAGTGATTTATGAACTATACTACATAGATTTAATTATTCTCCAGTAATCAATGTTAGTGCGTTCTTGGATCAGTTCCTACAGTAACTTCACTTAGTTGTTATCTAATTAACCCAGTAAAATACTATCTCTGAAGTAGTATCATGTGTGCTATTCGCCTTTTAGAATAGTATGAAGAATTTATACGAATATTCGTCAAGGTTAGAATGAATAGTTTGACAATAATTGGGCACCGAGTATAGAGAATTCATTATATGTGAAAAAATTATATTTGAAATAGTCTCAGCGATTGAAATTTAAATAGTAATTCCAACGTTTCGTCCAGCTAACTTGTCTGGACTTCCTCAGGGAAATAATCAAAATCATCAAAGAAATATAGTGTTTTTTAACAATCATATCAAAATCGCTACTACTTTGATATGATTGTTAAAAAAACACTATATTTCTTTGATGATTTTGATTATTTCCCTGAGGAAGTCCAGACAAGTTAGCTGGACGAAACGTTGGAATTACTATTTAAATTTCAATCGCTGAGACTACCTCAAATATAATTTCTTCACATATAATGGGTATGAAGAATGCAATACAGGTAAAACATATATATCTAGCCGATCTTTACGTTTAACTACTATTCAGTCATAGTGATCTCGAGTGTTACTGTTGGTGTGTAGACAGTTGTCAATTCCCTGTGGAAAGATATTTCCTGAGTGATAACGTGTAAAGGAACCTGGGTTGTAGGTGATGGTTTTTATGATACGGAAACTTGACTACAGAGCTCAAGAAACAGCCGCATGAGGTTGGTCACACAGCGTTCCTGTATATAATTTTTTGATGTGTTAGCTCCGTGCTTTAGCATCGACAACGGAAGTCTATGAAATAAGGTGAGATATACTATTTTTAGGTACAGTATTTTCTACCGCCTTCTGTTGTAAGAATATAACACCGCTGTAAATGTTAGTTGTCTGAGAGAAACACCTGACTATCGTCACATCTTTGTGCAGTCAGGATTTCAACCTCACATTAGAACTTTAAGTCTATTGTGTTTAGGTCTGACTGCCCTCCAACCAAACTAGCTATGATTGTATAGGACCTTCAGGAATGAGCGTTTCAGTCAATATAACTCAATTAGATCCTCATGATGTCCAAGCTTGACTACCACATCAACGTGTAGCAACTACGGTCAACTTAACCATCATTAAGTAGATTTTATTTTTTGTATCAATTAAGAATTTACGCCCAATCGACTTTGATTTTGTAACCAGCCTTCAAAAATTATTTTTTATGAAAACAGATTTTGATTTCGTCAAAAAATTATTTTCTGTTCAGATGATTTTTATACTTGGTCTACCTCGATTAATTTCCAACATGCCCTGGGAAGAAATCAATTGGTGGAAACCGGCTGGTCTGATTGAATGTATCCCTATATTTTTAGCTTCAATGTTCTGTCAAACGTGAGTTGTTTTGTTTTTGCAAATTTCATTTCCAACTCCATTAAAATTGATCGTTACTACAGTAATAGAAAAAAAACTCTAAAGCTGTGTCCAACAAGTCAACCGACAAAGTAATATTGACTAATTTAAATTGATAATGTCTTGAATTCCATCTATTTTAATGTATACTACTCACTAAGTTTGTAGGTGTTACAGCTCATACCTCCTGTGCGCAACAATCGTTTATTACCACTAAGAATTGCTAATTTAGTGTTATTGTATTTCCATAATTTACATCATGAACTAACCTTAGCCACTCAAGAGCAGGAAGCACTAGAATTTCCCATCACCTGTTTCACTTCTAAAAGTGGACCGACATGTAAACAGCAAATAGTTTCTGTATTAATTTAACTGTCGCGCTGTGCACACACACACACACACCGGATACTTAATAAATATTAAAAAATTAAGTAAATGTGTCCGGATTCTACGTTGCTTATAACTGAGGTAGGAATAGGGTTCGTTTTGTAAGAGAATTGTTTCGTTTTACTCCCACTTGTACAAATGTTTTTTTAAAATTTCAAATTATGCATAATCAGATTGTCCAGTAAAGCTATTCTGTTGATAATGTATAAATAGACGATTGTCTGGAGATATCGTATCGATAGATTTCCTGAATAAGAGTAGGTTATAATAACCTGTGTTAAGTCGCAAAATACAACGTTGATCATCTTATATACTCAATTATGTTGTTGAATAACGTCACAGTTCCTGACGAAAGTGTTTTGTTAAGATGCTTATTCAGTTTGTAGTGTACTTGTTCACATCAGTCACCCCTCTTGAAGCATAGGCCGCCAACTAAAAATCTCCAATCAACTCTGTCCCGGACTCTCCTTCACTTCTTGTTGCCAAGTTCTATTCATGATCTCGATTTTTATTCCTGATTCTTGGTGCTGTGTGTTCTGTCGTCTGTTTCTTTTCTTTTTGTCTCGAGAATTCCAAATTAGGATCTGACTTATAAAGCAGTTTGGTAATCTCTTCAGTGTTTGTTTCAACCACCTCCAGCGTCTCTTCCTGATTTCCTTCTCAATTGGTAGTTGTTTTTTCTCTCTACTCTATAGGATTGTCCCTGATGGTGTCTAACCAACGGACGTTGATTATGTTGCGTAGACAATTTTTTATAAATACTTGTACCTTTTCGGTGATGGTTGTGGTAGTTCTCGTGGTTCTCCGTACAACAGAACTGACTTGAAACTGGTATTGAGAATTGTGAATTTGGCGCTGTCTCATAGTTATTTTGATTTCTAGATGTTTTTCAATTTTAAGAATGCTGCCTTTGCTTTGCTAATATGTGCCTTCACATCAATATCAGATTCCCCTTGTGTATCAATGATACTCTTTATGTACGTAAACTCTTCAGTCTCTTCCAAAGTTTCATCAAGTGTGACACCCTTTATTATATTTCAGGCCTCAGTCTACCAGAATGTATGGCATGACTTCTTATAGTACAGTCACAATTTAAATGTTAAATATCATAACAAGTTAATTCACCTCGTTTCATCTTAAAGCAAGATGTTAACCTGGTTCGCGTGATATGCTAGATACCTAATAATTAGAATATTAGATAGCTCCTCCACTTATTCACAGTCGTCACATAGGTATATTCACCCACCCGGGAAGTTAGATGTTCATCGCTCCCAAAGAAAACGTATTCGTTACATCAGACTGACTCTTACACTTTGTATGTATATCATTCACACCATGGTTACCACTCCAGTATTTCCTGACACATATATAAGCATTATCACTCAGGAGAGGTTGTTAGTCACCTCACCCTAGTGTTTGCTAGCACCTCGTTTAATTATGTCTTCGACCTGAAAAATAGGCCGCTGATTTTACTGGACAAAGGGCAGAAATTTTTGCAGCTCAACGTTCCCTTTGTACGACACCTCATGCGTACCCTTTGCATATACCTATATACTTGAACTACTTAGGTCCGAGAACTTCTGCAGTTCTCATACATAAGCATACTCATCGAGTAGCTCGAGCGGTAAAGTGAGCTTCGAATATAGAACCCAGGATTAATCAGATACAAAATAGTGGGTGATCAGTGCGATCTCTGCAACCACCTATGTTGGTTGGCAGGGTTGACCCCACTATCTAGCAGCGCCATGAGGAGGCCTTATTTCAGATTTTGCTGCCTCTCAGTTATATTGCTTTGTGTGTGACGACCTAGTTTTAGAAAGATTAGTTATCACTCTAAAAATACAGTTACACTTTTCCTGATAAATATCGGTGTATCCATAAGTCAGTAAATTCCTATTTCAATGGAGTTTCATTCACTGAGCCACCAAAATTAATCCACCTGAGCTACAAATATTCACTATTACCTCTGTTATTTACCTCCATTAAATGCTTTTCATCTACTCGGTTTCAACATGTATGACGTCATCGTCCGTATTATATTATTATTTCTTATTTTAAGAAGATTCCTTAAAATTGTTGTTGTAGTCGTCACCACTGCACAGTTTACATTACAGACTGACTTCATTTAAACAATCACTGAAAACCAGGAAGCACTGAACAACTGAAACATGAGACTCAGTTCTTTTAAAGTTCTGTAGAGAAGTCACAACCAACGGAGTTCAACCATATTGAGTATCAGGCAGTAGTTATCCATTCAATGGGATTTTGATTGATAGTCTTGTAATGTCATGAATTGATTAAACTTGGAAAATGTCAGCTAATAAAGATTCAATCACTAGTCTAAAAGTTGAACACTCACCGGAAGACTCAAAGTTTCTTGGTTCAACCCACAATCAACTTGTACATGTTCGCTTCTTCTCTGTAGTAGTCCCATTTCTAGGACAAAAGAGTTATCGTCCAATACGATTGCCTAATGTTTATTGATGGTTTAACTGTGTAAATCAACAACAAAAAGGAATAAAATTTCACCAATCTTCATATGCTTTTTATCATTGACCAAACTAATTTTATTGTCATTTTCTCTCTTCGTTTTCTTTCGTTTTTAGACAATTACATGCCACATCATCTAAATGTTTTCAGCCAACATCATCAAATATGCGACTGATAGTTCGTGTTGCGTTGATTACAGTGGCTATAGTTTATGGATTTGTAAGTCGTTGTTGGTTTGTTGAGTTCACAAGTTGATCTAAGCTAGACCACCATCCCAAACCTAGAAGCACTGGTCCGACGTCCCGTTCTAGTGTGGGACTCCCCAGCCGTGCGCATTCACGATTCCGCACGCAAGACCGAAGATCCTGGGTTCGATTCCTGTGTGCGCTCACTATTTCGAATTCCATTGTGATGAGATTGAATCAATATCAATTTGCTGTAGTTAGTTAAATAAGATTTTCATTGATCACATCATATTTTGTTATGATTGTTCATCATAAAGTTGGCTTTACATCCACTGACTAATATCAGTTGGTGAGTGGTTGAAAATCTTGGAAGGATTGAATAACTGTCTTGTTTTAACATAAGAAGGATTTAATCCCAGGACTTTTAGTTCTTGTAATAACTTAGATACTACTGAGTCGCGAAATCGATTTTTACACATTATTAATTTCAAATAACAGAACATGAATGACTGGTTAAACTTTAATCATATTGGTAGTAAGTGACAAATACCATCAGTTAGTTTTGTCATGAACGAAAGAAAGTAGATCATTATTTAAATGGCTCAATAGTAGTATCATGCTCATTGAGAAACCTGAAGCTCATGGGGTCACAACATTTGGAACGATTGTGTGGGTGTGCATCGATCGGCAACAAGTTTCATACCAGGGCGAAGCAACAGTTGTTCAGCGCCCTTTGATTTCCAATGGCTACTCATTTGATGTCATTCTGTGCTGAAGAGCGAATTCATATTCTTTGTAAGGCGTTTGTGTAGGTTGGTGAACTTCTCGTAGTTTGCATCACGAACTGACCTAAGACAGTCATTAAAGTACTGGACAACTGTTCCGCCTGAAGTAGCAATTTACATTTAGAGAGAGAGAAACACATCCTAAACTTCCTGGCATTGTTGCTGAGTATCACTGATAAACTCAGTCTATCTCTGTAAGGCAAGCAGAATTGTTCTACAATTTTATCATATTAATGAATAATATTTTACAAATCATAAAATGTATTCCTCGTTTCAGATAACCTTTTGAACTTCAGCTGGAGTTGGGGCACCTAATTCAATGTCCCATTCAGGCTACTGGCGAGATCGTCTCATACTTGACTTCATAATTCCAGTTTCTTTTATAAGTCTGAAAAGTTGTTTAGTGTTACCTACAGTCACTGCCTTTTCCATCTATTTTGCTTTTGTTGACCACTACTGCACACTGTCGTTCCTTAGACTTTTGGTTAACCTAGATCCGGTTTTTTTATCACTCTTTATCGTGTTCAGGGCCAAATGGGATGAGTTTACAAGAATCTATCACTGCAATATACGTAGTAGAAATCCACTTTTTTTCGTAACCCTTTTGGTCCAAATCATTAATAGATATCACTGCTGTTTCCACAGCTTTTTGTATAACATTCCAAGCAACATCTGGGTCAGCTTCGTTTTCTGAGCTGCCTAAGTGTAACCTCAGTTGTTCCTGGAATCTACTTTTGGCTTTTTCATCACTTAGTTCAATTCTAATGGATCTTCTTAATGTGGTTGTTCTGCGTCCAGTGAGGCGCAAACAAATGCGTGCTCGTATTCAGACGTCATCAGAGTCTAAACATATATTCCAGTGCGAGCGACACTCTTCTATTGAGCCTCTCTAACGATGACTGATGGCAATATGGTTTATTTGGGTCCATCGTTGGTTTGTTGCAGGTGGTCGCCATGTTAGACGATGTCTCTCCTTATGCTTAAAATTAGTGTTTGCTAAAAATAAACGATTGTCTGAGTACAGTTGCAGTAGACGATCACCATTATCGGTTCGTTGAGCCGGAATACTAAAATATCCACCTAAATGTCTTTCTGTTTGGTTTAAGCTACCCTCTTCGTCATTAATGTCATTTGCTATCAGTAATATGTCTGAGTGTTTAGCTTTTTGAAGAAGTTCAGAAATATTTCTGTAAAAGTCATCTTTTACTTCATCTGGGCTGCAGTCAGTGGGAGCTTAGGCAGAAACGATGAAAAGGCAACGACGTGTGTCCCTATCTTTCCGAGTTCTTACGAAGCCATTTGGTCGAACAGCACATAGGCGACTGTTTACTGGCATCCATTATAATAGTGCTTGTTCTCCCCTCATGTGCTCACTGGGGAACCATTTTCGAGAGGTAACTCTCAGAGTACTACTGGGAGAGTGTAATCAGTGAAATCCAGCTGTCTTGGATATGAGACAAGTATCACCAATGACAGTCGATAATAGTCGTGTAGCATTCAAGAATACTGATGAAAGCTACGAAAATATAAACCATTGAATGTTAACTTACTGTTTTAGAGGCTAGGTGTTCATCGCAAAATCTGAAAGTCACGAATTCCATGGGATTGTGGATGCGGTATGTTGACGAGTCCCGGAATAAAACAGTTATCTAATGTTTCCCAATCTTCAATAGCTGTTTAACTCCTATCTATTTGTGATACAAACCACAAAAACTTCATATTTAATATTTATCATAAGTTTTGATTCATTATTATTGTTATTGTTTCTGTCTTTTTTGTATAGTTTGGTTTCTTTGGTTACGTGGCATTTATTAGTTCGAAAAGGACAATATTTTCCGGTAACGTCTTTTTAATGTATCCAGATGATTTGCGTAGTTTCTGTATACGTGTTGGATTTCTACTAACCAACATTGTTTCTATACCGTTGATTATTTTTCCATTACGTCAAACTGTATACAATTTATTATGTCAAAAAGTAAGTCTATGTATTTAATGCATCCTATCTATTTTATTGCCCCCCCCCTAACAGCATTAATTAATCGTACTGTAGTGAACGATAACGCAGGCAGAAACAACCAAATGTATATTTATACACTATTACAGAATATCTTGGTAAAATTTAAGAACCATACAGTAAATACTTTATTCTCATAGTCTTAGATTTTGTTGTTCCTTCGTTTCTATACCATTCACTCTCTGTCCTCGTTCTTTTCTCTTCGATTTTCTCAACCTTCTGCTGCCAGCCGTTCCACTTTCGGTTGGTGATACATACTACTTATATCTGTCGACGTCAGCAGCACACGCCACTCTATGTGCATGTATATCTGTAGATATTGTGACTGTACTGGTATCGACCTTTTATTTATGTAGTTAGAAAGACTCTTTCATAAGATAGATGACTGACAAGTTATTGAATGGCTTGAATTTTGACTATTTTTTTAAAATAGTGAGGTATCACTTAGGTGTAGTAATCAATTGTAGTTTAATGTACTTGTGCTGTACGCTTCTTAAATTGTTAGGTATAAGTAGTGTGTAGCCGCAGTAGGAAGTGGAATGCCTAACCGCATAAGAGTGAATTTAAGTGAACAGAAAGGAAATCTGAGAGGAATCAAAATTACAACAGAATTAGACGAGTAATGAAGTATTAGGTAAAGGACAAAGCAAAAAAGCTGTACAAATGATATATTGAATGTATAATTTTCATATTTTACTAAGTTGCTGTGTAATTTCGTATTAGACAGTAGATTGGTTATTCCCACCAAGTCTTCGTTAACTAAATACTAAACTTCAAACCATATTTTAATTATAAAAAATAAGATACTACAACTGTATATCTACTCAAACCAAAGTGAAAAATAAGTACAGTTCAAATTGTTTAAGTTAATGTTGTAGTATGTTTTTAGAAATGTGGTATCATTTCAGCTTGATTCAATAAAACAGTCAAGATGGAAATGAAATATGTGTTTTTTTACGTTAGCTAGTTGGCGGTAGTCAGTCGGCAGACAACTCGGCTTTACCTAAGCTTTTTACTGGTTGTCACCCATCAGTAAGGCATACCTAGAATCTAGAAAAAGAGCATAAGTTTCCTCCAGAATTTCAACTGTATTTTGTTGCCTAGTGTATCAACTAGCACGAAACACAATTGTGGAATGTCTAACCGGGTAAGTAATGGTGAGGTTAGACATAGAGTACTAGGGAATGATGGTAAATCAGTTGGTGAGGTTCTGAATGTACATTAACTGAAATGGTTGGACCACGTGTGGCGTATGCCCAATCATCGATTACCATGACGCGCAATGCTCACTAGTATTGGAGACCGATGGAAGAAATTAAGGGCGGCCAAACCAAAACGTGACATCAGTCCTTGAAGTCACTAACATCTAGTTCGAGACATGTTGATGGATGTACACTACTTAGTTAGAATCCTCGTGACTATCATAACTAGTGGTTGGAGACTTTGTGTAACATAGCTCAGAAAGAAAATATTGGTGTAGGTAGGTGTATATACTTCTTGTCTTCCCTCAAACTGTGAGATTAAAATTACTTTATACCTTTCTTTTTACGAACTAATTCTTCCTCTCCGTATTATATTCTTATATGCATTTTTTTTTGTTTTCATATATTACTACAATTGAAATAACTGCTTCTATAAATTTGGTGTTCATCTTTTTGTACTAATGGGGTATGGCGACGTGGACTAATCCCCACATATATGTACCTGGTCCTACGTTGTAACCGATTGACTAACTAGCCGGCTAACTAGTAAATCGATTGTATCTAATTTCGAGCCATTAGTGATTACATTGCAACTTGATCAAATAGAAATCAATCATTTCTAAGGTCTAAACAGATATAATGTTCATTACTACTCAGTTATCACTCAATGGAAATGAATTCTTTTATGTAACATATGCCATTAGAAATGTACACCTTTATTGAATATTGTTCTTTAATATTTCAGTCACTTATAAACAACGTGTAAGAAAAATGTAGTCATGACAAAAAGCAACAGTTAACAAAAGGGTTGCACAAGATCATGGATTGATTGTGAGTCCAATCCGTATCAGATGGAAACAGTTATCGACCTCAAACAATAAATGAAGAGTTACTCAGGTTCATTGATTGATGTACAATGCTTCCAAGTTTTAAATAATGGTCTTGTTTAGCTCGACTCATAAATTCGACTGTCCTGGGTTCGAATCTCGTGAGGCAAGGTCGTGGATGAGCATTGTTGAGGAGTCCCACAATAGGATGAAACGGCCGTCTAGTGCTTCCAGGTTTTCCCTGGTGGTCTAGCTTCATTTGACTCACGCTTTCAACTATGAAAAAAATAAGCGTTAAGAGAAGATTCTGTTGTTAAGTCTTAAGCATCAGTACCAGTTACATAACAACACAAAGATGACTTTTAAAATTATGTAAAGTAAAATTTTAAGAAGTACAATATACAATTGAAATTCGAAGAAAGAAAAAATTAAACCTAAGATGATGAGATAAAATAGATCAGTCCTGTATTAGCAATTTACATTCAGAGGGAGGGAGAAACGCATCCTAAACTTCCTGGTATTGTTGCTGAGTATCACTGATAAGCTCAGTCTATCTCCGTAAGGCAAGTAAAATTGTTCTACAATTTTATCGTACAAATGGTGGTCTAGCTTCAATTGACTCATGATTTCAACTGTGAAAATCATAAAAAGTATTTCATTTCTTAAAAGTTTTTATGGCAAAATTCGTTTTCTTTCCTTTCCCATAGAGATTAACTTCATTTGGTGTCGATTTGGAAATCGATTCAACTCCTATGATTTCTGATGAGGTTCCAAGAAGATTTATTCAAAAAATCACTATCTCATTATTACTTGTCTCATTTCTTCTCAGTTTAACTACGGATAAAAGTACTTTTAAATGTTTTGTTTTATACAGTATTTTTTTATTTTTACACTGTTTTCAATCTATCTTAAACTATGTTGACAAATCAATAGTTGATCTGAAATTGTATAGATCAGTGACGCTTAATGGTTAAAGCGGTTCAACTTATAGAACCACTAAGTCCCGGGTTTGAACCTCAGTTTAACTATTTCGTTTTCGGTAACTGTGTAATACTATCATTAGTTCTCATACTGTGTGGCTCATACCCGATTACCTGAGAAATGAGGTTTTTTATTAACTATTATCAGTCTAAGTTTCTATGCACCGAATTAACATAACGTAATGAAATCAACAATATACTATTATTTAAAACAATTAGTCCCTTTGATAAATTTCGATAATGCAATGAGAAGACGAAGTTTATCAGAATTATGTGATATATTAGTGCAATACATTTCGAACAATCTGATCACACATATACTATTATTTATTTAAACACATAAATATTGGTACAAGAAAGCACCAGATAAATATGCGCCTTACAAATCTCATTCGATTAGTGTGAGGGCGGTGTTAATGCCCAGGTGCCCAGACTGAAACAGGTGTTTTTCTTAGGAGGCCACACCCGGAGCCTTTGACCAAAAGGTCTAGTCCACAAAGCAGTGGAGCGTCGTAAGGAGATACAATTCCATGGTAGCCGGTGACCAACAGTTGGTTCATACGCCATTCCTTCCTTCAGGATACTGTAGCCCATGTGCACCATTGGTTTGGAATCAGTGTTTTCCAAATCACTTAGGTGAAATTCACGAGTCCACCAACCCGGTTAAAGCGCCAGACATTCGCTTTTCGTCCTCTCACTTTTGTGAACAACACCGGTGCAACGAGAAGGCAGTGAGTAGGACTTCCCTGACAGAGGCTATATATTCGCGTGGCCATATGAGAGCATTTGGAGAGGGAGAGCGGACTCTCCCCACTCTCGGCCGTACCAGGGCATTTGGGGGCACTTTTTTTAACATGAGCACCCATATGCCAGAACTCCCGGTCACACGAAATTCCGCACCCTGGCCTCCAAGTAGCTAGATTACAGGCGCACGCCACTACGCCCAGCCAACAGCAACATACACCTAGCTATAAAGTCGGAATAATAGTAGGCGTAGAAGAAGTAGTGGTAGTGGTATGACTGCGAGAGAAGTCCTACTCAGTACCTTCACACGGGACAGGCTATTGTTTTCAAAGGTTAGAGGACAGAAAGCGAAGATTTGATACATGAGCTCGATTATTTGGTTACAAATGATTACGAAACTCTGTGATTTCAAATCAGTGAGGAGAGTACATGGGTTCCTTGATTATAAATCATCAAATAGTTAACAGGTTTACTTTCGGTCAACATGAGATTATATCTCTCGCCTGAGGTATGGCAACTTGGATCCCGTGATATTGTTTTAATTCTTCATGGATTAGATCTATAGGCTAGATTACAATTTATGGACGAGCAAATCAGAAGCGTTTGAGACATTTCAAGGCTACAGCGCCGATTTCAGTACCTGAAGCTCATTTACGATCGGTTCACAGAGAATTTTAGAGACGACTTGACAATTAAGCGGCTACAATAAATGAGACTACTAAGAAGTTTCTATATTTGTAGTTGCGGGTAATAATTGACTTGTAGACCTTGTTCAGACTACCGTGATGTTGTCTTTCGATGTAATATATGTTGAAGGAAGATGTTTACTAGAATAGGAACTTTTTTCGTTCTATCCAGATTGAGACTAAGACGTTTTATAATAATTCCCGCAAACTGTATAACAAATACACCAGTATTATTGATTGCAATATTCGCAAATGTTACTAAAGCTTCGGCTGTTCAGTGGTATGAATATTGTAAGGACATACTCATAATAAGAATGATATACTTACACAACCATAATACACACAAACAATATTTAAGGTATGTGGTCGAGGCTGAGAGAGTTTTTGTGATCTCATCATGGCTCCAGAGACCAAGTACTATAAAGCCATATGGATGAATTCCTCTACCTTATGCATTACGATTTTAAAATCTTTGAACCTTTTTCTAACCTTGATAAGTTTTTGGACCATATAAAAGAAGTGTATCCACTTTAATTCTTTGGTGTTGTATAATCTATTTTTACTCTATATCAACTGTCTTCTGATTGTTTAATATTTTTCAAGATCACTTAAGACTCGCTCAAAAGTCGTGTATAAATTATAGTCTCGTCGACCTATAGATTTAAAACTTCTGTCAATTGTCTTATTCTGAATGTGAAATAAGTATCTTAGCCTATCTACATATAAAATTGATTTTGATTATTTATTCTTTCTGTCTCATTATTAGTACATAATGAAATGTTTTTTTCTGTTTTTTTTTAAAACTATCATCAGTTGAAGTTATCATTCGTTATACAACTAGTATAGCTGGTTCATTAACTGGTTTCATTTTACCAGCATTAGTACTTTTTGTTACTACAATAAAAAATGATCACGATCATCATGATCATCATTACACTACTAATCATAATAATAGTAGTATATTACGTTTTTTACAAATTTATCGTCGTCATCATCATCATTCAATGATTGTTTATTGTTTATTATTAGTTGGTTGTCTTTTATTTTCATTGGAATTTTTCTCAGTACATTATACTACTAATAATAATAATGATAGTAGTCATAATAATGTTAAATTATTATCATTGGATAATACTATTCATATGAATACTATTATTACATCATCTTATCAATCCAATATGAATACAATGAATTCGAATAATTTACAATCTATGACAATGAAAAATCCCCCTGAACCAATTGATCTAACAAAAATTCAATCACATATTAATAATAATAATAATAATACAACAACTAAATTTTCACCATTGAATACACAAACTAAACAACAAATGAGACCAATTACAATATTGAATAAGACTATTATGAAAAAAGATAGAAAAAAATCACCATAACAACAACAACATCATCATCAATGTCGACGTTGTTGTTGTTGTTGTTGTCGTCGTTATTCGTTGCCGAAATTTGTCAAATTCACATGAAATCTTAGTTGTTGTTGTTGGTGGTGTTTCCATTTTTTTTTAAAACAAAGTTAAAGTAACACTGTGATTGATAATCAACTTCTGTTTTTCAAGAACAAAAAAAGATAGAAAGAAGTTAAAACTTTCCATAGAATTGAAATCATAATGTAACAATATTGTGTACATAAGAATGTCAGTCACAACGTAGAACTTCATACTTACGTACATCAGTTCGAGTTGTATAATTGCAATCATCGTCACATGTATCTTGATGTATGTATGTGTGTGTGTGTGAGTGAGTGTGTATACCTTATTAGTTTATTGTTCTATGATGTGTTTCTCTATACAAATCATGTCCCCATCAACAATATATATATATATATGTGATATTTAAGGGATCAATAATCATCATTTTGTGTTTGTGTTTTTTTATACTTTTGCCTTTCATTGTCTTGTTTTGTTTTCTTAGGTATAGAGGGATTATTGGGTTCTGTACGTACGAAGCATTGTTTTGTCCTTTCAATAGCATTGTTGAATATATATATACATAACTTCTAATGATCTAATTGTGATTTCTTCTTCTTATTGATGTTTCACTTTTTCATAGGATTGATAACTTTTGTTGGTAGATTATTTAAATCAGTAGGGCTGTTGTAGGTGTTTGTGTGTGTATATATGTATCTATGTAATAACCATTCACTTACTATCGACATATTCAGTGTTTGAGTTATATATGAGAAGCTCTTTTATATGTACTGTTCTACTTGTTCAATTATCAATAACAAGTTAATATTAATCTTTCGGATTGTCATCTGTGTATATACAACATCCTTTATGGTTTACTTTAATTTATAATAAGAATTTGTTTAATGTGTTTTTATTCACTAAATATTTTTGTAATTTAAATAAACATACTAGAGACTTTTTAAATTCATTCTTCAAAGATATTCCCAGTGTAAAAGGTTTGTGGAGATTATTGAATTGAAGGAAGCGCTCTATGGGTAATTTGTCCTAATATTACACTCAGTCAGTCACAACGTAGAACTTCGTACGGACATACATCAGTTCGAGTTGCCATACTACATTAGCACAGAGATAAAGTTGTCGATTGAAATCCCATAGTAGTAGAAGTAGTAAGAGTATAAGTAGTAATGTGAAAGATTAGGGTTTGAAGATGTTATTGAAGGAGTATAATCTAGTGAAATAAATTTGAAAAGAGAAAAAAGATAGAGACATGAAGAATTCAGAAGATTAAAATTTGGTAGAACACAAAGAGTGGATGCACTTTCACCATTGCAAACGGTTTTGATTCATGTCATTCAAGGTCTCTAACCATCGATTGCTATCATCTCGCGAATCCCAACCAGTTAGTCTACACCTACCAAAATGGGTCAGTCCAATTGTCAGTGACTCCTTGACAGTGCATATTCATGACTTCGCCGACGGTTGAGTTCACGGCCTGTATATTTTTAGTTTAGCACCAAACCTTCAGACCACTGGGTTGGCACTCAATGGTTTGTATTTCTAAGTTCAATCAATTCGCGATATTATATAGTCATCTTCCGATGCTGATGGTGAATAACTGGCCCATACCAGATTTATTCAAATGGCATCAGCTACGGATTGTCACTAGAACTCCAGGAATTACCTCATGAAATTAATCAATAGTCAATACATGGTTTTTATCGGTTGTTTAACTGATGTCATTTCGTGTTGTGAAATGTCAAGAGGTATTTGTCGCTTTTACTCAATGTTAAGTCGGCTTACAGTAAACTCTATCAGAGTCTCATAAAGAGCCCAACCAATCAGCGATTAGTTAGAAGCTATGCTACTAAAATAACGAGGTCCTGATTGGCTGTTTAACATACTGCTACTATGGAATCTCAAGGTCTCTTAATTACTATAAAACCCCTGTTTTTCTGTACATAAATGAACCTTGTAGTAAAGTGCTTCTCTGATACTCGTGTCTTCTCTCTGGTCCTCAAGTTGCTGTATAGTTCTAGCTCGGGGATCCGAAACTAGCTTAGGGAAGCAAACATAACGTTCACAAACGGGCAGACAACACTCAGCTTGATAGTCAGCAATTTACGTTATGGATGTCTCTTCCTTTTTACTTTTTAAGTGACGGTCGTTTTGGTGATAAGAAGGGAAACGCATCATATGAGATTGGTTCGATCTTAGTGATAGGAGTTTAGTTTGAAATGCAACTGGGAACAGATGGGCTGTGTGGTAAATGTGTGCACAGTGTGGATCGACAAATCACTAAGTACCAGACTAGTCAAAACCGATGTCAATGTCTTCAAGTAGTATGACGCAATGAGCTTCTCACTACTGAATAACTTAAGCCTATTACTTCTTTTGGGCTATCGGTTTGCGATCAGGAATCTCCAGCTAACTCCGTTCTGGACTTTCCTTCCTACTTGTTGTCAATTGCCACTCATTTTCTTGGTATTTATTTCCAATCTCCGACGCCATATGTCTCCTGTGATCTCTCTATTTTGGTCATGAAAATTCCAAGTTATAACTTGTGATGCAGTTTGATAACTTCCATAAAGTGTCTCCTACCCACCTCCAGCGTCTCTTCCTCATTTCCTCCGCAATCGGAAGCTAATTTATACAATTACTCCGTTTTCGAAGTCACTTTTGGAAACATGAAAAGCTGTCATGGCTTTTTTAGAATTTTTCTTTCGTCTCGGGCTCTACAAAGAGTATTTTCGAAAATATTAATAAATTTATCGGCCCATTCAGCTATAAAAGCCATGGTAATGTAATAATAAGCAATATTCCTTAATGCCAACAACAAACTTAGGCAAAGTAAATTGGATTCCACAGTTTGGAATTAAAAGAAATTTCAGGTACCTAAAGTGTGGCGCCGGGCGTGGAAAGACACACTCAACTGACCAACTATTTATTATATAATTTCCTTCCTATTTTGGATTTCTATTTTCAACTTACAGAATGTAAACTAATTGTTTTGGATAAAGTATTGCTTAGCTTACACTCTGTTTCTTTTTTAGTAGCCCGGATGTGGTGATTATCGTTATCGAAACATACATGTCATCAATCCTCCTATATAATTATCAACTTAGCTGACGTTAGTGAATAACGGAATTAAATAAGTCAAATACGAGAATAAATTTCGAATACGTGTATTTCATTTAATCGTTGATCCAGACAAACGGTCAGAGAAGCGAAGAGAAAAGAGCTAAGCGAAATGACGCGCGGTGAAGATGTGTGAGCCAACTCGATTTAACCAAGCGTAAATCGATATTTCTAGTCTGACAGAAATAAGTTAGACATGTGATAAGAAGTGCACACATATGATCATATAAAAACAGAATTAATAAATGACGGTAAGAATGTGGCTTGAGAAGGATGAGTAGATTGATCGGTCCATAGGTTGGAATGACCTATATATAGGCTTGACATAAAACCAGCTCCTACACTCTATACTTGGTCATGTATCTGGCATAACGTGATTTCAGTCTGTGTTTAGCTTATCGTTTGAGTATCCAGTATGATGGTGGTATAATTTTTATCACTAATTCTATAACGGTAGTTTGTCGTTGCGAAAGAAAACACTTTTACTCTGTTGTCCTATTAGAGCTACAATTAATCGTCTTAAGTGAAATCACGCAAGTAGTGTGGATGAATTTTGTACAAATTACAACTACTGGGAAATATCAGTAGAATAATCAAGTTGTATTTGTTTGCGACATGGTTATGATCTTATGGTGTATGCTACCTATGTTGACAGATATAAGTAGTATGTAACAACAATCAAAAATGGAAATTTTACCCGGCAAAATATTGAGATCTAATTAAAGAGAACAGGAATGTAAACAGTAATTATAATAACAACGGGAATGGAGGAGCGATGAAGTTTGAAAGAGACAGCAAATGAAGTATTCAATGTATGATTTTCATATTTTAAGAAGATACTGTAATTTTGCATTAAACAATAATTTGTCATTACTCACCGGGGTTCTCGATCACTATAGTTTGTTCGCTAAGTTGAGTGGTTTAATTACAAAGCTTTTACTATCGTTCAGTGCCTGCCTCCTGTACAAGTGAGGTTTCCAATTATTCTACTAAGTTACGTTAAACTGTTCCGATGGTTTTGTCGGTAAATGGTTTTCTTCATAGGTTTTGTCAGCCCTACATTTCTTTGTACCCTTGTTAAGCAATTTGGCACCTAGACACATGATTGATTGGTAAACAGACTCCATATCGATCTGTCTATTACTTTTAGAATGACTTGAATGTTCTGCTTTCTTGAATTTCCTCAATCAATAATTTTTATGTTTTCCCAGTCAAATTCATGTCTATGGGATTGTCAGTATGCAATGATATGAGTTGATAACATACGCAGTTTTACTGTCAGTTTATTTTAGTGTATTTATGGATGAAAAAGGAAGAGTACTTTGTCCAATATAATGTTTGTCACAATCGATTCAATTTGTTCTGTATATCATATTAGATGTGTCTTTTTTCATTGTTACATCGTTTAGTTTACTCATTTATTGCAACAACGGAATCATAGATTTCAATGGATGTTTACCATCTTCAACACAATAGGGGGGGGCAAGATCTTGAGATAGATTCTTTTAAAACGTTGTCTATATGTAACTAAACCAATTAGACTACTCCTAATTGACCATCATAAGACTAGTACATGAATAATGTGTGTGGAATTTTGAAAGAATAGAAAGTCATCATACCTGAACTGAATCTTGATTCTCCACACAAATTGGTCACATTCTTTACAAAATTTGTTCTCCTTTCAAATTGCATTCAGAAAATTGTAACTATTTTATGAAGGATTATCTTATCTTTACTATTCTAGCTATTTTTCAGTTGGTAATATCTTTATGGTTTATACTACTTATTGTTGACATATATAAATAGTATATAACACTAATTGATAGTGGAAACTCTGGTAGGTGAAGGCTAAGAAAATAGAAAGGACTTATGATGGAATTTTACAAATAAATTATTTAATGTATGATTCTTATATTTTACCAAGCGATTCCGTATCTGTACTGAATTATAGTTGTCAGCAAAGATGGATAGTGGTTAGCAGTAGAATCCATGATACACGTCACTTCGTCTTATTTGGGACTCGTCAACTAAATATACCTGCATGTTAGAGTTGATGTTCACTCTGGGACTCGAACCCAGTACCTTTTGCATCAAACGCCGTCGCGTTATCCACTCAGCTACTGAGTTCTGATAGCCACTTGCTTGTGAAATGGGGTGACGTTTAAATTCACAGTATTGTTTGTTTGAATCTTCCCATTGATATTTAAGACTGCAATTGTTCAGTCTTTAATTGGCATATATGCATACTGTGCGTATTGCCTCGATTTATGCCAATAAGAGACTGATCAATTGCAGTCTTAAATATCAATGGGAAGATTCAAAAAAACAATACTAAGTGAATTTAAAGTGCAGTTGGTTTTCCTCGCCTGTGTTTTTGCTCATTACACCTTCATTACTTAATAAAAATTACACCTTGATTAATGATCCAAACTGAAATCGATCGTAATCCAAATTTTAATCTTTTCTATATTCTGCTCTTTTTTTCCATAAAAGCTCGAATCAATCTTACTCTTTAAACATTTATAACATCTACACCCAATACACATTTCACTTGGGCGATAGCATTCGATCATCACTAAGAAGGGCTTGACACGCATGACATTGATCACCACCCAAGTGATCAACCAATTGTGATTACATCTCAGTCCTACAGGAGGTCAGTCGCGGCCCGAATAACTCAGTGGTAACGTCTCTGACTGTGAAGCTGAGTGACACGGGATCGAATCCGTCAGGCAGCACCAGTTTCCTCAAGATTATAGGTAAACCTTGCTGTCAAGTGCCAGGTAGCACTCAACCCGGGTTCAGGGTTTCCTGTTGACCACCTCCAA